AATATTCTTACTTGACATCATTTATTGAGGGAGCAACCTGTATGCCACAGGACTTTTTATGTTCATTTATTGATCTTAATGCTAAAGGTTTTCTACTTTACTAAGTGCTCTTACTTCACACTGATATCTTATTCTAAGCCCACGATGATGGCTGGCTATAAAACCCCAGCTGAAAATGATGTCCATGGTGAATGTGATGGTCTTTTCTTAAAGCTGTTCAGCACTTTACAGTATTTAAAGACTTTCCCCAAATTATCCTCATAGCAACTGGGTATGACAGATTGGAGAATAGTTTTTTAAATGTCTACCTAATAATTACCTTTTCCTTGTATCTCTCCACCTAGAATACCTTCATCTTTATGACCAGACATTAAGAAATAACTTCTTCATCAGGAGCTTTGCTTTGTTCTGAGTGGAACTTGAGATATAAGAATCCCAAGTGAAATTGTGTCACCATCCTTGAACAGCAAGGTAAGCTTCCAGCTCAGTTCTGTGGTAGGTTTAGATTGTGGTCTAAAAGAGTGTGCTATGTAAAGGTATAAAGGCAAACATTTTCTCCTAGAGGATTCAGAGCTTAGTATTCCATGCTTTAATACCCTCATGATTTCCTACTATTTATCTAGAGTTCAGATATCACAGCAACCTTTATTATATAGGAAAATGGTGATTTTATTCAAATAATAGAAGACAGTATTATTCTCATCATTTAAAAGACCTTTGCTTAAGAGAATACTTACAAAATGGTGGGCACTTAGCAAATATCCATTGAGGCAATGAGTGAATGAATAAATGAATTAGTAAAAAACAGTGCCCTGTATATCGAGCGCTTATGAAACACACAGTCCTATGTCACTAAAGCACAGATTCGTGCCTAACTTTTCACTGGCTATTCAGAGGTTGTTGAGCAAAGGTTTTAGACTTTTTTGAATAAGGACTCTACAGCAATAAATACAATCACATTGTGACTCAGCACACACACAGACACATAAAACAAAAACGAAATTTTTAGAGAGCCATTATACTTACACTTGCCTTTACTTTTTATTCTTTTCTATCTTAATTGAGCAAAAGATTTAGAAGTGCATCTCCATGTAGTAAGTGCTTTCTTGCTTTTCCTCTCTCTGGTCAAGTTAAAACATAATAATAAATAAAATTAAATAAATAATTCTTGAAACAACCAAAAATGCAGTTTATCCAAAATAAATTAATGGAGGGTTTATTTGTTGGAGATTTGATAAATATAACAGGTGACCGTAACTTCAATGTAATTAATTATATGAATATAAGTAATAAATACAATCTGTTTATATTAACAAAAAGTTGATTTATACATACCTTCCTTCATTATATCCCAATAAGAATAAAATATATTTCTTTTGTGATTTAACTATATTTTACTGAGTGTATTCTCCAAGGATTTTTTAAAAACTACTGACATTAACTATTTATTTTGAAAGAATTACTTATTTAGTTGATTTTATTTGTTATTATTATTTTTTCTTTCTTTCTTTCTTTTTTTTTTAAGAGGTTTTCGCTACAGTGTATGTGCGCTCGCCAGACAGAGAGAGACAGAGAGACAGAAAGTGAGAAATCACACCCCAGGGGAGATGGCCACGCCGCAATCCCTTCTCCTCTATTCTCCTCTTGGGATCTTGGGCACGCACGCACATGCGCCTGGTGTGAGTTTTAAGCCACCGGGTCTGGGACATGAACCACGGTTGACCATGTGGGAGTCCAATGACATAGCCATTACGCTAACTGCTGGTCCCTGTTATTATTATTATTATTATTATTTTTTAGAGGTTTTTACTATAGGGCGCATGCGCTCGCCAGACAGACACAGAGAGACATAGAGACAGAAAGCAAGAAATCACGCCCCCCCCAGGGGGGATGGTCACGCCACAATCCCTTCTCCTCCATTCTCCTCTGGGCATTTTGGACATGCATGCACACGTGCCCAGCGTGAGTTTTAAGCCACCGGGTCTGGGTCTGGGATGCGAACCGCGGTTGACTACGTGGGAGTCCAGTAACATAGCCATTACGCTAACTGCTGGTTCCCACTGTTGTTATTTAAAAAAAAAAAAAAAAAAATTGAACCAAAGACATACAGAGAGAGAAAGGAAGGTGAGAAAGCAAGCCACCAGGTCTGGGATTCAAACTACGATTGACCACGTGGGAGTCCAACACCTTAATCACCATGCCTCCTGTCAGCCCAACATTATTTATATTGAATACAATGTGAAATGTATTGAATAAGTTTATAGTAATTAAGCTATACTATGAAAATATCAATGAATGCATGTGAATTCAGTTCTTCTTAGATTGTTCATCTACAACTTTAGAGGAGTTATCATGGAAGCCATTGAGTGCTCAGTGGAAATTACTCTTTACAGAGCTACTTTTGTATGGGAATAACAACTATTCCTTCATGACTTCATTCATCTAACAGAAATTTATTAACTGTATGCTGTGAACTAGGGTAGGCACATAGATACAAAGATAAATCAGTTAAGGCTTTTCCAAGTTTCAATCTGGTAGGCAGTGGATATGCAGATATATAAGCTTAAGAAGTCTTTTTTTCCCTAATAACTCTGAAGTACCACTTGTCTTCATTTTGCAGAGGGAAAGAAATTGCCTTTAGATAATTTAGAAATTGTGTCTAAACCATTAAATGAAGAAGCAGAAATCCAAACCCAGGCATCTGGCCCCCAAATTCAGGAAGTTTTTATGTTCTTAGGTTGACTTACAGTTTATAGTTATAGAATTATTATTATTATTTAGAGGATTTATTTATTTATTTATTTATTTATTTTTGCTATAGGGTACATGTGCTTTCTGGAGAGACAGACAGAAAGTGAGAAATCACACCCCAGGGGTGATGGATATGCTATAATCCCTTCTCCTCCAATCTCCTCTTGGGATTTTAGGCACACATGCACATACACCTGATGTGAGTTTCAAGTGCCGGATCCAGGACTCGAACCTCAGTTGAGTATGTGGAGGTCCAGCAACATAACCATTATGCCATCTGCTGGTCCCAGTTACAGAATTATTTAATCAATCTCTTTCATTTTTCTGTTATGTGCTCAGCTATATTTGAGCACATTGAGTCATGTAGAAGCAAACTTTTTTTTTTTTTTTTAATGGCACAATTTAAGCATTCAGGCTCAGATTCAAAAACACCCAGGATGAAGGACATTATGACCACCCATTATGTTGCTGATGTTATTGTTAGAGTAAAAAAGACTAGGTGTCAAGTGAGCATGTTACTATCTATTCAAAAGGACAAAACAATATCCTTCAATATCTATTCCTTATTTCCTACGCTTTCTCAAGCTCCATATCTGCTCTTAGCATCAGATTCCTTTTTCTTCACTTTCTCAATAATTTGTTTTTACTTCAGTTCTTACCAGGTGTGACCTGAATGGTGATATGGTCTGGAATGGTCATACCAGAGGTGGTGAATGGATTTGGAGTACATTTCAAAGATAAGATTAACAGTGTGTGTTCATGGATGTGTGTTTTTCTCAGAAATTTTTTCATGCTACTACTATTTTTTTTATTTTTTATTTATTTTTTTTTAATTTCTTAAAATAATCAAACTTTTTAAAATAATAGCAATATATATACTTTATTCAGTATTGTCTATGTGTTAGGCATCATTATGGGTTATTTATATCAACTCATTCCATTCTCCAAATATGCTTATGAAGTACTATTATCATCTCTGCTTTTCACTGAGGTGCAGAAAGCTAGTGACTTGTCCAAGGTTACCCAATTAGTAAGTAGAGATGATAGGATTTGAAGATAGACAGATCATCCCCAGAGACCATGTTTTTTATTATCACAATATGCTAAATACTTGTATTATTTTTTTAAAAAAATCTCTTTTTAGAGACCAGCAGTTGGCATAATGGCTATGTTGCTGGACTATATGAACCATGTAGTCAACCATGGTTCGAGTCCCAGACTGGGAGGCTTAAACTCATGCTGGGCATGTGTGCGTGTGTGCCCAAGATATTGAGAGGAGAATGGAGGAGAAGGGATCGCAGCTTGGCTATCCACCCTGGGGAGGAGATTTCTCACTTTCTGTCTTTCTGTCTCTCTCTGTCTTTCTGACATGCGCCCTATAGCAAAAACATCTCCAAAAAAGTTTTTAAAAATCTTTTTACATTAATAGAAGAATTTGTGATATAGTAAAAGCAGAAAATGCAATGATCTCTCTCTCTCTTTTTAAGATGAAGAAATAAAAGCTCAGGGACATTTATGTAGCTTGTTTAAAAGGTTAAAAAGAGAATGAGCATCTTCCTGTATTCTGTGTCGATTCCCTCAAGAGGATGAAGCGAGGCACAGACTGTAGAGTGCAGTGTTTCAGTGGTCATGGTTTTGAAGTTGTTGCACTGGTTTTCACATGTTTTTCACAAAAGACAACATTCTCTGAAATGTGAAAGGGCACCTTAGACTTCAGACTTATCTGAAGGTACCTTATCCTTAGACTTCAGAGAAATTGTGACAATCTCTTCTCTCACAGTATTTAAAATCCAAAAATGTAACACTGTATTACTGTTCTCAGACAATTTCCTAATAGGACAGCTGGGAAAACTAAGAGAGATAATATTTATTTTTCTTAGACTAGCTGTTACATAGCAAGTGCCTAGGTACTGTAAGTATTATCTAACTAATAAATAACAGTGACAAAAGCAAGACTAATTTCCAGGGGAAAGGCAAACTTTCAACCTAAAAGAAAATAAGCAACAAATATTTTAAAGATAACTGAATGATTATTTGGAATGCCTGAATGGTGTCAGGAACTAATATAGTATACCCTTCTACAGTTTGGAGGTCAGATGTCAGTTACCGACGTACTGGGAAGCCTGCATTGATAATGAGATCATGACAAGCTCATGTCGTTTGGGTGACATGAGTGTGCTGCATAGGTAATTTATCCATTTTTGCTTTCTTTGTTTTGGCAGGTGAAACACAATTTTAGAAAGACATTCATGGAGAATGGCACTGAGGTGAATTACTTTAGACTCTTGGGTCTGACTGACATCCCAGAGCTACAAGTCCCCCTCTTCATAACATTTACCATCATTTACCTCACCACTCTCATGGGGAACCTGGGGATAATCATGTTGATTCTATTGGATCCTCGTCTCCATACTCCCATGTATTTTTTCCTCAGTAACCTCTCTCTGGCAGACTGTGTTTATTCTTCTGCTGTTACTCCCAAAGTGATGGCTGGGCTTCTCACAGGGGATAAAGTTATCTCTTACGGGGGGTGTATTGCTCAGATGTTCTTCTTTGTGGCTTTCGCTAGTGTTGATTGCTTTCTACTTGCTGTCATGGCCTACGATCGTCATGCAGCAGTGTGCAAGCCCTTGCATTACACCAGCACTGTAACCACCAATGTGTGTGCTCAAATGGCGATAGGCTGCTATCTCTGGGGCTTTATTGAATCTGCAATCCACACCGGGTTCACCTTCTGCCTATCCTTCTGCCATTCTAATGTGGTTCATCATTTTTTCTGTGATATTCCTCCAATTCTGGCTCTTTCTTGCTCCGATATCTATATCAATGAGATTGTGCTCTTTATCTTGGCAGCTTTCAATGTTGCTTTTGCCCTGATAGTCATCTTGACTTCCTATCTGTTCATATTCATTGCCATTCTGAGGATGCGCTCAGCAGAAGGACAGAAAAAAGCCTTCTCCACTTGTGCTTCTCACCTTACTGCCGTAACCATATTCTATGGAACTGTGATCTTCATGTACTTACAACCCAGTTCTAGCCATTCAATGGACAATGACCAAATGGCATCTGTGTTCTATACAATAATAGTGCCCATGTTGAACCCAATTGTCTATAGTCTAAGGAATAAAGAAGTTAATAATGCTTTCAGAAAAGCCATTGAGAAGATGAAGGCTCTGTTTAACATGTAATCTTTATTTATTTATTTTTATTACATTTAATCATTGTACATCTTTACAGCTTGCAATATGGTTTTCTCCCAGCGTACATGCAGTGCACATCAATAGAGTCAAGGATACTACCATATATCTCATCATCAAGAGATAACTTTCCATTCTGTGTCTGTTAAATACACATTTTACATTTGTGTAATTAAATATACACAATACCTCCCAATATCCATCCTCCTCATCTACAGTCCCTGGTATCTATGCTTGCCCTCCCTGTTATCATCTCTTCCATTCTTTCAGCTTCTTCCAGAGTGCAGACATTTGGTATATATTGAACGGAGATATAGAAAGTCTGTCTTTCATAGTCTGGCTTGCTTTGCTTATCATTAAATATTCTATATTCACCCACTTTGTATCAAATGAGAAGGTCTATCTTCTCCTTTTTAATGACTGAGTAGTATTCCATAGTGTATATGTGCTACATGTTTTCAATCCAGTCATCTGTTCTTGGTAATTTGGATTGATTATATATCTTAGCAATTGTTGACTATGTGGGAGTTAGTGACTCCCACATAGTCAATTGTTATGGATCCTGACTTAACTCTCTGAACTAGATTTTTTCTATGTACAAAATAAAGGAACATTTTTGATTGCCAGAGGTTATGTGTGTTCACCAGAAACACACACTGCAATCCCTTCTCCTCCATTTCACCATCTGGTTAGAATTTTGTGCATGCATACATGTATGCCCAGCATGCAAATGAGGCCTGTACTCCAACCATAGTTGGCCATGTGAGATCGGGTTCACTTAGCCATTAGGCTATGGGGCTGGACTTCTAAAAAAGTTTTTTTAAAAGAAGCATTTTATTTTATTTATTTATTAATTTATTTTAATTTGACCAGAGAAAGACACAGAGAAAGAAAGTGAGAAAGCAAGTCACCAGGTCCAAGGCTTGAACCACAGTCGACCTTGTGGGAGTGTCCAGAGCTTTGACTACCACATCACTTGCTGGCCTCCTCAAATGAAAATATTAATGAGACTTATCTCAAGCTATTATTGTGAGAATGAATTGGGATAATGGATTTTAAAAGATGACTAAAATGCTTAGTGTTTAGCCTAACCTGATTAGTGATAAGTGTAATATTACTAAAATGAATGGTGACCTCTGAGTTTGCTTGAGAAAGGCAGGTGGAATTACACAGGGCTTAGATGTAGATGAGTTTTGAAGTCTTGTAGCCTCTCTTTTCCATTTTCTTTTCTCACAAAATTGGTCCACTAAGATTTTTCTGCACCTTCCAGTGTTTCTCAATCCATCCTATGCTTGCATGAGCAACTGTTCTTGCTTTTGCATATAGATCATTCTTTTGCTTTTTCCTTTCTTTTAAGTTTCTTCCTTAAAAAGCATATTTTAGCTTGGGTTGAAAAAGTCCCCTTTCTTACCTAAAAAATACTCAAAAGTTGATCTCACAGAACTAGAAAGTGAAATGATTGTTAACAGGAGCTGGGCCACTTAGGGGCAACTGGGGAGATGTTGGTCAAAGGGTATAAAATTTCAGTTAGATAGGAGGAATAAGTTCAAGATTTATTGTATAACATGGTAATTATGGTCACTCACAATATTCTTGCAAAATGCTAGGAGAGCGGATGCTAAGCTTTGTCACCACAAAAATGACCACCGTGTGAAGAAATGCATATGTTAATTATCTAGATTTAATCAACCCACAATGCATATATACTTCAAAACATTGTACATGGTAAATGCAGACAGTCTTATCTGTGAATTTATAAAAAATAATAAAGTTTTCTTTCTTAAACTATCTTTTCTTTCATTACTGTCATTCCATAGTTGAATTACAGAGAGTGTTGAAAGTTCTAGCTTGTTGACTACCTTTAGCCTGCAGATCTGTTCTGGTGCTGAACTCTATGTTCTTAAATTTTTATTTGAGTGACCAGCAGATGGTGTAATGGTTATGTCACTGAACTCCCACATAATGGACCACAGGTTGTGTCCCAGACCCAGCGGCTTAAAACTCACATGTGTGCATGCATGCCCAAAATCCCAAGAGGAGAATGGAGAAGAAAGGATTGCAGTGTGGCCATTCCCTTGAGGGTGATTTCTTGCTGTCTCTCTCGCAAGTGCATGCACCCTATAGCAAAAATCTCTCTTAAAAAAAATTTTTTTGAGTCAGCTCTTGTGTAGGAATACATAGTGGCTTTTTGTTGTTGTTTTAGTGTTTTAAATGATTTAACTTGAATCCGAGGCCTTGAGAGGAGCATCTATCATCAGTTAATCATTATTCTCTACCACCTGTCTAATTCACACTTCACTTTACAAGCCTAATTCCTCAAATTGTTTGCCAGCTTTTGAGCTTCATAGTTGTCTGTAGAATATTCCATGTTTTACAACTGACAATAAGACATCTATTCCTTTATATGCATGCTTATATATATATATTTTTTTTTCATTTAATTTTAATTATCTTCATCTAATTCTCACGATAATGTTACAAGATAGATATTATCATTTGTTACTAGAGAACTGAGGATCTGGGAAGGTATGTAAAGCTTTGTAATTATACAGGTATAATAGTATGAGGACAATTCAATAGTCAAGATTCAAGCCCAGCTGTAACCAAATTAAAAGGCTGTCATAGTCAGCATTTGAAGATGTACTGTTAAGAATAAGAGCGATTAAAAGAAAAATTGTTATGGTGGATGATGATTTTGTTCATTTACCCTTAGCCTTTCTGTAGTTCATAGAATGATTATTTCACTCTCTCTCTCTCTCTCTCTCTCTCTCTCTCTCTTTCTCTTTCCTCTAATGAGAAGTCAGTAAGGGAAAAATTAACACTTACTTAATCAGAGCATCACCTTTACTTCTTTCACAGGAGCATCACCTTTTTCCCTTTGCTAATCTTTTTTAGGAAAGCAGCATGAGGGTGTTTCCTAAGTGTCACTAAACTTCC